TAGTTGTCTTCATTGTTATCGGCACTTTCACCGTTTGACTCGTAAATATCATATGACTCTTTATGTTCTTCGTTTTGCGGTTTCATTTCGTGGGCTACTACCAAATTGTCAAGATTCGATTGATCCTTATAACGATTAGTGACCGGCGCCTTATCCGTTGTCCCTTCACTTGGAAACTTCGTCGAAACGTCGCTTGAATTTCGATAAGATCCCGTGTGAGCGGAAGCATGTAACTTTTCTATTGGTAAAAGATTCTTCTCATTTTCCGCCTCAAAACGGTCGATTGAATGAAATGTGATCGCAGTATTGAACGGCTTCCACGTAGTTACAACGGGTACTTTGGTTGAGGTAGAAAGCGCAGAGTTTGTCGTGATCGGCGATGCGAAAGTCGTTAAAGGACTCGTAGTGCTTGTCTCTTTCGTTTTAAGATCGTTGACAGTCGTAGTTCTGTACGTGCTCGTTTTTGTCGATGGATAACTTTTGACGGGATGTACATATAGATCGCTCTCCGAATGTCTATGATTGTACGTGCTGTAACTGTTGGTGCCGCTCTGTACCTTCGTATTCGCATACGAGTTCGAGATCAACGGGTACTTATCATTTCCATATTTATCCGAAGAATAATGAACGGGTAAATTGAGAAAATCGTGAAAGTTAGGCGTGATCTCGTTTGGGCCGTTCCTATCCTTGTTCCTTATCTTTTCCTGCCTTGCGTACACACTCCCCTCAGCACCCCTGTTATCATCACCGTCTTTGCTCTCTTTGTCCTCTCGCTCGCGATAACGACCGGTGTAGTTGAGAGCTTTGACAGGCGGTGCCTTCTCAAAGTCGATCTTACCGGTTATCGGATCCTTTTCCAGAGAGAACGGTTTGCCACCATTGAAGGCGAAAGGCGGGATATGGTAACGTGGAACACCGTCGTCGCCGGTTGAAGTCTCAGTGCCAGCAGCAACGGTGCTCTCTGCCGCAACGAGATCCAGGTCAAGGTCGTCCAGACGTGTTTTACGTCCCAACACGGAAGAGCTGTCGATTTTACCGGACCGGGTCGTTGACCCCGCATTGTTGTCCAAGTGGCCGCCCATCAGGTATTCACCTGACACACATACCAGAAGGACGAGGAGCATCCACAGCCGTCTCCGCATCTCTTACATATGATGCCTGGAAAATCGTGCTTATGATTAATCCGATGGCATGATAAATAGTTCACAATATCTGTGCAATACAATTATCTATAAGCTTTCCTTTTCATTAATTTATTCTTATTTTCTCACGCCAGCTTTTCGCGTCGTACTAGTATTTAAGCGACGGTAATTCTTATCGCAATTTCAAATGCGGGTGTTGCATTTCATATCAGTGAAAAAAAATGCATTAAAAAAACATACGACCTACATCCAGTATAATTAAACATTGCGACATAATTAAATTTGTGTTCCACTTACACACGTTTATCTATGGAACATGTGTACTACAGTGCAGTTATAGCTTAGTTTGTTAGATATAGTAATAAGCTGTGAATGATTCCGGAAATATTACTGTAAACGCGCGTCATGTGTCTTACGGTGTAACATAGTGCCAAATGAGACTTTAATTATAAATGTAAGGCCATTATTCTGAACAAGGTCCGTTTGATCGATTGCGAGTAAGATAAATATGCAGTACATTCATGCGCCAATTTGGTAAGGATTTATATACGGGATAAATGCAAATTCGCACGTCAACATAGACGTTCCGATAAATTTGTAACGTATAAGACAGTAGACTATATTACGTCAAGTGGAATTCCGTTTCAATGTATAACGGGTTTTAGTAGCTTCTCTCCTCGTCTTCCGGCATCGTGCCGTCTTTTTCTTTTCTCTTTTTACACATTTTCCGTACGAATCCGTTTTGTTTCCTCCTAATTTCTATGGATCTATCATTTTTTGTTAGCATATAGTTTTAAGAATGTATTACACCAATTTTTATATAAATAAGTTAGTACTTTATGCTTTATTTATACTTTAAATAAACTATATATACATACAAAAGTAGTTATAACATTCTATTTTTATTCAACAATGCATTTTTATAATTTGTTTATTTTGTTATTTTTTATTACTATAATATGCAAAATTTTGAAAAATAACAAAAATCTCAATTTTTTTGTATAAGTATTTTAAATATTCGAAATATTTTATGCAAAGTTTTATTATGATACAGAGATTGTTTTATAAATAAATAAATAAATAAATATTGTTTATTTACAGAATAACTAATCTCTGCATTGTAATGAAACTTTATATAAATAATCTTAAATATTTAAATTATTTAAAATACTTATACAAAAAATTGAGATTTTTATATATCATTATTTTACAATACATTTTTATACATACAATTTATAATACATTTCCATTAAAGCAGTAAATATTACTTCTCTTATTGCAATAGAAATAACTTTTTATCCAAGTTCTAAATCATCTAATGGTAAATTCTTTGTATTACTTTTATTATAAATGCGATCTAGAACAATCTATAATTTTTTTCATTAGTTTGAAAAATGTGTAATTCATTCTTAATATCCAGGTCGAATAACGTTGCATAGTGACATGTATTCGCCCGTTAAAATCATCTAATGCCGTTCACTATTCATAACACGGATTGTAACAACGTTCATGGTCGTGACCCGGTGTCTCGGTATTTTCTGGCATGGTGAATAGGACGCGCCAGGTGATGTTGGTCAGTATCAAGTGACCCACTTTGTTTCGGGGTTTTGTCCTCGAATTGTGTAATTTCAGTTACGCACCTCTAGAATCACAATAATGTTTTGCGCACATGATCATTTCGTTTTCGATTTAGGATGGCTTATTCGCGAGGCATATAAATAATATGCATGTAAATTTCGAGGATACCAATTAGTATTTTTTTTCTAAATGATAAATTTCTTTAATTTGTATTACGATTCGGTACCTGTTAAATATTTTAACTTTTATCCAAACAGAGAATTAAAAACATAAATTATTCATTAACATACAAATGATTCAGGTCCCTATTTAATTTTACTGTTAGATTTAGTCACTTGACGAATATATCGCACAAATATTGCATCGAAAAACGCTTTATTATTAATTGTATAAATATAACAAATAATTTGTCACAAAAGAGGAGTTGTTATACCTCGATTACGTGGAAGAACAGTATAAGGTCACGGACGGGTCGAGGCCACCCTTCAGCTTCTCGCAATTCCTGCTTTTGTAATTGTTCACTAATTTATCCACACACGATTTTTGATGTAACATCTGATGTTTAATCAAACATAGCAATCGCGTAAGTTTGTGACTTTGTTGAAAAATCGCTTCTTCCGGATGCAATCAACGTAGGTAAAAAACGATAAATCAGAGCCGCGGGAAAGAACGTAACCCTGGATGAAGGTCGTATAACGACTGAACAGTCTTGTCGTCAGGACGGTAGCAGGAGGACGAAGAGATGGCAAGAGGACATGCGGTGGAGGAAGATCTCGCTCCAAATGACCCAAAGAGTAGGAGAACACGCCGCGGTCATCCGTAAGGTAAAGAAGAAAGGAGGAAGCGAATGATTACAGAGAGGCGATAGCTAAAATCCGGCGTGGTATTCAATAAGATAAAAGGATAACGGAAATCTGCATTTACTTACAAAATGTGTAAAAGGCGGATGTCACGAAGATAACACAAACGAACGCTCTTCATTTAAAATACACTTTCTATCAAATGTTTTTACAAAGCTTTATCTTTATGACGTTAAAAACTATTTATTAAATCGCATACAACGGTGAACTCTTAATATCAAGTCACGATCGGGCCATTCGTGTCTTACTCATTTCTTTTCTTTGAAATAATAACGATGCTAAGAGCATTTGATTAAATAATGGTTCTCTATCCTTTCTTTGTTTTTAATACAAAACCTTACAAATGTTTTCTAAAGACGTTAAAGTATACGTAAGAATAATTACTTAACAATTTTTCTGTACCTGTACAAGTGACGAAAATTAATCCAGATATGAACGACTCAAGAGAAAAATATTTTATTTACAATATAAGAATATTTTATTAAATTCAAACGCGAATATTATTTCATATTTTAAGCATGTTTTTAAAATATTAAATGTACATTATTCTAAGAATATATATTCTTAAAATATTAAATAATATTATGGGGGTCTACAGAGAGAATATTCGCGTTTGAATTTAACAAAATATTCAGCCTATACAGCTGTAATACAAAGTTTCGCGTATACTAATTTAGTTTCCAAAAAATTTCAATAACAATAAGGGAGATTCTCTCTGATGAAGAAGAAATAACAAGGGCGTGCTATCACGATCGTATTGCCGCTAACATTACCGTACGATGTAATGTATAGCGTGGGGTATATGGATATCATCGTGTAAGTGTCCGTTCGCTGTTGCTGCTGCTGTCGAAGGATATACAGAGTCAGGGGCGGAGAAACGGTACGTAGAACAGTTAGACGACGACCCACATCGAGCAGAGTGCCTCGCAGCGGCCGGCGTACCAGTTTCTTCGACCTTGCACCACAACCAGACACCACAAACGGTCTTCTAAAATTATATGAAACTGTCGGGGTGAACGATTCATTTGCCTTTCCTGAAAAACAACGAAATGTCATCAATCTATAATGATCAACTATAATGATATCCAGAGTTAAAAAATTCATGGGGATTCCATTTCACGAAGACTCGAGTCGTAACGAGAAGATAACATTCAGACGCATTAAATGCAGATTAAAGTCGACTTCTGCTCGATATGTATCTAGGTTCTTTTTCATGATATCGATAGTTTAAAAAAATATATATAACGCGATATTATGAAAAGATTAAATTCAGAGATATCTCTTTCAAACTTTGTCACGTCGCATAGCAATTTGCTGAATGTACGTGACAATGATACGAGCTTGAATCTGATTTGTTGAATCCGTTCTCACCGCGCAAGTCACAAAAATCAGTTATCATCAGTTTCGTTATTTGCTGCTAAGTTTGTAAAGCGCGCGCAGTCAGCATTACCCATTTATAAGGCGCACTTGCTCCCGAACTTCACCTCAATTGAGAGAAATAGCGCTGAGCATAGTCTTGCTTACGCATCGTAAAATATACATAGCGCATATCATGATGTCGCTAATCGCAATCATCGTCGCTCTATGCGTTCTACTGAGTGAAGCAGACAACTTAAATGAAGTGAAAGATACATTCTGGAACAAAATTCAAGAGAACGCTGAGACAAGTAAGACGAAGAATGAGTTATACAAATCTGTCGAGTTCCCGACGCGTTCAATCGGATTCGACGATGATCGAGAGATTCAGCTGAGAAGTCATACTCATACATTACAGAATTTACCACCGGCCGTAATGGCAAGATACATCGTTAATCAAGCTGGTAATATCAACGTGATAGCATTAGCACCTATCAAATAATAAGTTTTTACATAATAAGTTTTAATAAAATAACAGTTATTTAATAAAGTAATCAAGATTGAGTAGTTAATTAGTTAAAAGTTAATAAAATTAAAAAGTTAACAATTTTTAACTTAACTTGGTTAATTTTAATTTCTATTAACTATTGATTTTAACTTATTTTGTAAAACACTTAATTAACAAATAAAATATTAAATTTACTTGATAATCCAAATTGTTTTATCATTTAGATTTTAATCTAATTTTAAAATCTTACATTTTTATTTTCAGCTAATTTAATCTTAATGAAACTTTTGACTAAGTTAATTTTATAGATTAGTAACTTTAATTTAACTTTGTTAAAAAGATAAAAACTAATTTACTCAAGTTTGATAATTATGTAAAATGGTATATAAAAGCTTATCATTATGAATTATATAAGCTGACATTCTGATACATATTTAATAAAATATATATTAACACACACATACACAAAGATTATATATGCTGACATACTCTAATATCTACAATTTTGCATTAGTATAAAATATATCTGTTTATAAGAAAGGAATAGTCTGTTTAAAATGTTTTTATTAACGCGTGCAAACAGCTTTTGTTCGATATCTCACTTGTAGTTAATTAAATATATAAATATTGTAAATGAATGCAAACTACACAATTTGCATCATTTTATCATGATACGCGTATCGAGATAATCATCGAAAAACAGAAGTAAGATAAAAAACGCCCTTGAAACAACATGTTATATTAAATTATCGCGTTTCATTCATACGCATCTTCCTTTCTATATACTCGTACGTACACAGTTGCTGCTTATTTCAACAGAATACTGATATTCTGGTCTCATGCCAGATATTTGATTTGGTATCAACTAATAAACTTGAGTCACTGTCAAATACAAACACGACAAAAAAAGACTACTTCCCCTGCTGAAAAAAATCATGTTACAACGTTACATGATGAAATTAATATAAATAATTAAAACGTGTAAATAACGGATTGTTCCATCTGTACGTGATTTTAAAATTACGTATTTTGAAATGTCACATGATGATACTTTTTTTTTCTACTATGTTGTTCTTGTACAGTCGTAAATATAAGAATGTTATTTTCAGAAGAGGACAAAGAAATTACAAATTTTTCAAATTCATCTGAAAAGATCAGAATTGTAATTTGTTGCATAGAAAAGGGATATGTGTTTTATAAAAATGATTCAGCACTTTATGTACTATTAATATACCTATTTACGCATTCAGTATTATAGTACAATATATGGATCTTTGTATTGGTAGATTGGGCGGCCGTAGCGACGATAAGCACAAGAAAAGATATTCGAAATTTTCCCGTTGCAAATTTGGCCTCCATCGCCGATGGGCCTGTTGGAGGCGGTACTGGAATACCATACATGTATCTCACTCCTTTGGACTATACTGCTAAAGATCTTGCTGTAAGTATTGATAGCGTTATATCGAGTGTTGGAACAAATACCGTTTGAAAAGTATTTAGGTACAAATATAGGTATTGTATGGAAAAAGTATTTACTTATATATATGAGTATATAGATATATATATTTTAAAAAAATTATCTGGGTAGGTACAGGTACAGCATATAAAAGCATCTAAAAAATTTAGATACTTTTCAGGTATTTCTAACAAAAAAAGGGAAAAGACATAAAAAGGCAAATAATAGCTGCATAAACAAATTTTATTATTTTTCAATTGTTGATGTAATGTATAATTTGTTTATAAATTTAAAAATTAGATTTTTGTCGCGTACTGTTTTTACCGCATCACATATGACCACTCTCTGTTTAGGTTTTTTAGTTCGCCTTAAATTAGTTATTATTTATTAAATACTAAGAACCAAAATAACTTAGACGGTGAAGCCAAATAAAAGCACTTGCGCAAAGTTAAAAATGAGAGAAAAACGATAATTTATAATTTATATAACAATCAAAAATTAAGTTCCTAATATAATGATATAAAATGTATAAATAAATACCTCGTATATCTATAATAAATTTAAAAAGTACCATACAAAAAAGTACCCATGTATTTCCACTTATAAAGATTTAGATAATATAATACATTTATAGAGCCACTTTGACCAACTCCGACTATTAATTTTAATCAACGATTAGTCTATTGGAATTGGTAAATTGTATTTATCATTTCGCTTAACAACAGATGCGATTGATCAATTCCAGTGGACTAATCATTGATTAAAATTAATCGGAGTTGGTCGAAGTGGCTTATCTGAATTAAGTATCTAGATACTGTATCTAGATACTTTTATTTAATATATGTATTGTTCCAACGTTGGAATCTAATTATTGGTCGTCACACATGTACTATACATTGGCTGTGTTCCAAAATTCACTGCCAATGTCGAAAATATATAGCAAAGTAATCTGAAGGTTTTCAACGCATATTTTGAAACACAACCATTATATTATATATATATACGTTATACATTGTACTGCACATTTTATACTATCTAAATCATTTACAAAGAGTTTATAGAGGTTGAAAAATGTAAAGAATAATACAATAATCCTATTAAAATGTGATGCAAAAGACCTATCAATCTGATAATTATATTTTTAAGTTGATAAGTTAATAATTAAATTTTTTTTAATTATACAAAATATACGTGCATGATATCAAAATGATTTTAACAACAATTTTTTTTAATTACATTGTATAAATATCAGAAAATGTTACTAAAGTTTATTGCGTATACTGATATTTTTTATCAATTAAAAAATACTTGACATCTTTTCCAGCTTGAAATGAGCAGATTTAATAATTGATTATATTTCCACAAATATAATTTACAAAATAATCGCTATCATATCACGTTTTGATATCATGTTGTCTACAATTAAAAGAAATTTTGATTACTGTCTTATCATATAAGTTATATTTAAAAATCTTAATAACTGTCTTATCATGAGATAAACCATAGCTTTAATTACATAGAATTTTGTTATTTGATTTGAAAACAAATTAAATTATATAATTATTTAATTCGAAACATGACACGATAACAATTATTTATCAAACTGAAAAAAATATCACGTCCTTTTTAACTGATATAAAATATCAAAATTTTTTAAGTAACTCTAACTCATCTGTCTCATCTAGATTTTGATTATAATTATAATATATCATGTTAATATATGCTCACGATTACAGAAAAATCATCACGCGACTGTGTTCGTATCATTAGCTCAAGGAGACTATTGCAAGACTAAAGGATATGATCCGATGGACCCGCGATGTGCTAGAATCCTTCTAACTGGAAAGATTAAAGCGGTCAGTAAATCATTCATTTATACATATATTGTGCGTTATTTTTACATTTTTTTATTCGTCGCTAACATATTCAATGTTTTAATAGGTGAAAAATGAAAGTGTCGAAGTTGTGGAACAATTATTTTTCGATCGTCATCCAAAATTACGTAATCCTCCCGCAGGTAAAATTATAAATGGTACATTTCAATTGGCTTCTGCAACACTTACAAGCACACTTGTGCTTATTTAATATTTCATAAACAACAAAAGTGAAATGATTAATTTCAACAACAAGTGCAGCGCCAAGTGGAATGCAGCCTATAGTCTCTCCATATATTACCTAAAGAATTTTATTTTTATTGTATACTAAGATTATTGATGTCCATTTCTACCATGTAGATAAAAACTTTATTAATGTCATTTATAAATTATATTTTTTTTAACTTATACTTTTTATCTTCTTCTAAGAATTAGAAAAAAGATACAGAAATTAAACTAAAAAGATGCAGAAATTAAATTAATCCAAAATTAAAATTGATCTACATTGATAAAAATAGAGCTATATTGTATTATTTGCACAGATCACAAATTCTTTTTCGCCCAATTGGATATATCGACAATCGCCTTATTGGATAACTTCGGTGGACCGAAATACATTTCCGTTGATGATTACTTAAAAGCACCGACCATCCGCAATAATTTTGATTGGCGCCGTAGAAGAATTTTTTTAAATAAATCTGCTGTTTGATAAGAGTACTTTCTGTTAAAGTCTGATAGATTCTATAAGATCCTGACAATCCGAATTTCCAAGCACAATATTGGGTTTTATCTAGAAAGAAATTTTAAAAACTAATTAATATTTTTATATATCTAATGTAAGAACTTAGGTAACTATTTGTATTACTGAATTTCAATTTGTTACAAATTTTAATTAATATTTGCGGTGATTTACTTATATATAGTAATAAACTAACATATGTAACTCAACGAATTATTTTATTTAATTGAAATTAAATCTTGTTATTATTATTATATCTGCTACCTATTCTGATTGGAAGGACAATTACAAGCATTATAAAATAAAGGTTTCTATTTTTTAAAACCTAACTTATCTGTTTTTTATTTGACCATTTTTTGCGTATGATATATAGATATATTTTCGTATAATTATTTGTGTGAAATTGCTGAGATGTCTCATCATAAAGATTTATCAAAATCTTTCATCATTTTCCGTAAGCTCACTCGTGTTGTATATTTTTTCTTTTTCCTATTCAAATAAAGAACTCTAAAATACCACTAAAATAGTGCCATGATTTAAAAATAGTCACGTAATTTGTGACGTTCGCTATCACGTTATATGCATGCGTATAGTGATTTGATTCCACTATGCGCATCGCAGCGCACCGAAAGTTTTGCCGGAAAGAATTTTCCCATTTGCACCAATGTGTACCAATGTACGCTGAATTGCACTGAATTTACACGTGTCGCACGTGGAGTGTATTTTACGTTCGGTATATCTACGTGAAAATACGATTTTTTTTTTTATTCAATTGAGGTATGTAAAAATATTAATATGAAAGGTTTATAAATTTTGCAAAACAATTTTACTTCTAGTCAGTATGATAGTGTAGAAACCTTTGTTGATAGTTTGCTTCTGTAAGAGGTTATGTCTTTCCGTGGACGCGGTGGTAGGGGAGGCGGTGGTTTTAGGGGTGGTCGTGGAGGCGGAGGATTTAATAGGGGACGTCCTGGTGGTTTCGACAAAAGCAGAGGGTAATTTTATGAATATTGTAATAATAACCTGCATAAAATGCGTCAGACAAATTTGTCAAAAATTAGGTTAAGTCAGAAATAAAACTCCAAGACATTAAATGTTTTTTTACTGCAAATTTATTGTAGGTATGATCAAGGTCCTCCAGAAACAGTAACGCCGTTAGGACATTTCACATGGACAGTAGAAAATGATTTAGTTCTTAAAGTCGACATTGAACAGATACCCTTTTTCAATGCTCCGATCTACACAGAGAATAAACAGCAGATTGGGAAAATAGACGAAATATTCGGGAACATTCGGGACTACTATGTGTCTGTTAAATTATCGGAAAATGTAAAAGCCTCTAGCTTCCAGAAGGATGTTCAGGTATTATAACATTAAAATTAGATAGAAACATTCATAATATAAAATGGTTATTAAGTGTTCTAAAAGATTTTAAGGAATGACGCACAAATTCCTCACGAAATTTCAATTAATCATTTCTCTGAAACAACTTAGTATCAAAGATGCAGGGTGTCAGAATTAAGGAAAAATTTCATTTTTTCCAAAAATTTCAAAAACCACTTGGGTCATTTTATTGAATCTTTATGTGTGTGTATCATACAAGTCATCTTCATATGAAGTCATACATCCCAGAAATATTTGTATACGAATTCTACATGTCATTGTCTGTTGATTATAGTTATATATCGACCCAGCAAAACTGCTGCCTCTTCAGAGGTTTTTGCCGAAACCTCCTGGAGAACAAAAAAGAGGTGGTGGTGGTGGCAGGGTCATGAAAAGAGGTGGTGGAGGCAGAGGAGGAGGTAGAGGCGGCGGCAGACCATCTTTCGGAAGAGGAGGAGGCGGTGGCTTCGGAAACAGAGGTGGCAGTGGAGGATTTAGAGGTCGCGGGGGAGGCGGTGGATTTAATCGTTTCAATTCGGGTGGAGGTCGAGGAGGAGGGAGAGGAAGATGGTAGATTTAAAATTAATATTTTAATGTTAGAATAATATCTTATGTACTATAATGATAAACATTGTAAATGATAAAAATGATTAAATATTTTATACAATTTACTCAGTTAATCTTGTCAAATTTTCTTTAATGATTTCAATGTACTAATAGCGATACTATTATTTATATATATGTACATACATGTATACAATATATGTGAACTTGATATGAGAAAAATTTGAAAACTTCGCAGCCTAATAATGAAAGCATACACTTTTAGGTTTTAAATTACTTTTATTTTCTAATATGATGTCCCTCAATTTTAATGCAATACTTTTATGTATTGGAACATATAAGGTTTACTTGCGTTGCTTGAAATTTTCAAGAAATGTTTACACTTAAACGAGATTTAAGATCTGCTTATTTCTTTTTTATTAGACACACACACTGTACATATACTGATAGTATTAGATTGCACTGAAACTCTTTTTCTTTCGCGAAATATGAAAGGTTGATCTTACTTTAAGTAATGTATACTATTTCAGTTATAGAAAACACTATATATTCGACATAAATCTTATATATTGATCTTATATATCAGACCTAAGCCAGATTGCACATATCGAATGATTTTGCCAACCATCATCCCTACCTCTTTTGTTTTATAGCATTTAGACTGCGTTCCATTTAACGCTCACAACGCTCGTGGAATCATTTCATCCTTGTCGTTTATCAAACAAAGACAAACGATGCTCGCAAGCATTGCGAGCGTTAAATGGAATGCAGCCATAGAACGATTGAATTCAGGGACGATATTAGCTATAAACCATATAAGGACTATAGGACTTTGAAACATATTGGCCCGTGTCCTCAGTTTATAGTTTTATTATTATTATTTTTGAATGTTAAAAAATCAAAGTAACTCTTCAAAACCAGCTCCATGTTATGTACTCAGAGAGAGAGCGACGAAATACTATTAAAGACCGTCAACCCTAGACAAATTTTCGGTGGTATAAAAAGGACCCGAAAGTAATTGAAGAACGCTGACACTATCGTCAATTAATATAAATTTGTTATTAATATTATTAATAACAAATTAATTATTAATATAAATATTTGATTAACACATTATTAAATTCATGATTTTTTTTATTACATAAATGCGTCATAAATAAATATGCATACTTGTAAAACTATAATATCCTATATATTGCCGAAAAATTACAAAGATAGATTTTTTGTCTACAGTTATCACCTCTATTGATAATCAAACTTTGATGATAACACTGAAATCATAATTTTAAAGAAAATCGAATATTATTGAGTTTTAAAGCATGTACACCTATAAATACGTCTACAGAACTAATAAATAAAAAAATTAACAGTATTATCAGTTTTTTATTCTTAATCACTTCAATACTAACAAGGACGCAAACTCTCGTAAGGATGTCGGTCTTTAATAATATATTGTTGGTAATATCGATCTTATATAAGATCTATGACATTAAATGTTGAAAAGAGAGAAAGCGAAGATATAGAGCTTAATATGTAGAGTGCAAGTAACGCGGACAAACCTATATAGATTCACAAGCATAAAGCCTATGTGAATAGATCAATGCTTGTTTTATCACACCATAAAGTGATCTGTGTATATCAGCACCCTTATGAATTAGAAGTTTTCAAATTGTTCTCGTATTACAGCGTCTCTATCAAACACATCGTTAACTGACTAAAACGAAATAATATGTTCTCATTGGTGGTACATTGGAGAAGTTACATCGGCCGAAGTGAGTGAATGTGTTTAACTGGGATGTGCGCATTTGGAACATATGTGTGTATATACTTAATTAAGCTTAAGTGAATTATACAAAGTTGAATAATATCATAAGTTAATCTTGATCAAACTTTATACATTTCCCAAGTTCTTTCTCTGCTCGTTTGAGCAATTTATCACGCCCCCTTTGCTTGAATCTTTTCTTTTTACTCAACTTTTCCATCCTATCTTCCGCTATCTTGTCCCAATACAATTTCTCTTCATCACCTGGAAAATTAGCACATAAAGTTGGTAACAAATATATTGTTCGTAATATGTAAGATATACCTTCTAAATATATTTTTACCTTCTAAAATAGTTAAATGTCTTCCTTCGTAACTCTGCTGTGCAAATGTTTGCGCAGCTTCTGCTGTATCGCATCTTATATAGGCTTCACAAGAATCAGCTATTACATCTACATATTTTACCGAATTGTTGTCTTTTAACTCCATCTGAAATTTTAAATACACTTTATATATATGTATATAATACCTTACATTTATAAAAGTTCTTATTAAAATTTATAAGGATACATTTAACTAAAAATTTTTTTTTCTAATAATATAAATGTACCTTGAAACTTTGCGTATCTGTGCAAGGTTCATCCATTTCAATTTTTACTATAATTCCTGGCGCATAATTAACACGTCCACAAGACTTTTCTTCAAGTGCTTCGTTATCGTTTTTATGTTTTGATTTATCATGCAATATATTAGTCTGTCCAGTTTTATCGTGATATCCATTTTTTATAATTCCGTCTCGTTCCACCTCAGCTTTTCTCAAATGCACTTTTAGCTGTTTCATTTTATATCGTTGCAAATCTAAATATCTATTTCTAAGACGTTTCCAATCTAATTTTGCCATTATTTGCAATCCTATTTTACTACAAATATCATTGTCCTGAATTTTACTTCTCTTTTTCCTATTCTTTTTCTTCTTCCTTTCATCACTAGTTTCCTCGATATCGCTATTTCTTGCGCCGAAATCGCTTGTGGAATGTTTTTCAGTTTGTAATAAAGCACTTGCCTCGTCGTTGTCGTCGCCTTCATGTGAATATTCCAATTCTGTTGTTTCATTTTTATTTGAATTTATCGTTAATTTTTGACATTCCTTTTTTACTGCTTCTGCACCGTCATCTTCTGTGATTGTATCATTTATTGTAAGTCTTCTCTTCTTTTTTTCTGTAACTTTATTGCGATTTTTATTCGGAATCTCTTGATTTTCTATACTATTTCCAGTGACTTTGCTGTCCCTTTCGTCTTTAATATATGATTTTTCTGGAGCAAGTTTCCTTTTCTTTAGGCTTTGTCGACCATTACCTGTTGTATCTGTTTCGTCATCATAGGCATTAGTCTTATCTTCAAATTCTTCTTTTGTCACCATTTCTTTCTCGTCTTGCTGATCTATTGTACTTTGATCTACAGTTTTTCTTCTTTTTTTTACTTTAACATCATTTTCATCTGCAACAAGCGATTTTTCCAGGGCATATTTTTCTTTCTTTAAACTTTGTCTATCATTATTATATGCTATATCATTGTCACAAATATTATCCTTATCTTTAGAATCTTCTTTTAGTACTTTTTCTTTTTCATTCTGATACGTTATATTTTGATCCATGGCTTTTTTCTTTTTCTTGACTTTAATGTCTTTTTCTTGATTTTCATCTGCAACAAACAATTTTTCCGAAGAATATTTTCTTTTTTTAAATTTTTGTTTGCCATTGTTATCTGCCACATCTGTTTCATTATCAAGAGTATTATTCTTGTCTTCAGATTCAGATTTTGATTTTTTTTTTCCTTCATCTTGATCTATTATATTTTGGTCAGCAGCTTCCTTTTTCTTTTTCTTAACTTTAACATCGCTTTCGTCTGTAACAGATTTTTCCAAAGAATATTTTCTTTTTTTAGAACTTTGTTTGCTAGTATTATCCCCTATATCTATTTCATGCATGTTATCTTTAGTTTCAATTTCTTCTTCTTCTGTCATAAGTCTCTTCAAACGAAGTCCTTTACGGCCAATATTTCCCACTTCTTCATTGGATGCCTTTTCGTTTTCATTATCTTTCAATCTTGTCTTAATTTTTGAATTTATTACTTCAACTACTGCATCTTTATTAGGTTCATCAAATGTCGTTATACTTAATAACTCATTCGGAGATATATATGATGGCAAAACACCTTTCTTTTTCCGGAATGTCTGTAAAATAAAATATTAAACTATATCATGTCACTAAGTGTGATGGAAATTATAACTATCATCTTCCACATCTGTAATTATAGGTCTTATAATTATATTCGCGTTACTTGAAATTCCCCAAAATTTTTGAACTTAAAATGAGATAGATATACATTTGGACGTTGAAAAGAAAAAAAGTAAAGATGCTGAATGCAAAAAGTGTGCATGTAATGCAAACAGACTTTATATTAGATGACCGTTGATAAATACTATTTTTCTTACCTTAATACATTCTTCAGCACTGCTAGGCTTATCAAATTCCACAAATGCAAACCCCTTTATCTTCCTGTTGCTTCTGTAACGTGGAATCGAGACATATTCTACTGATCCGTATTTAGAAAAAATAGATATTAACCAGTCGTGATCCGCATCTGGAGGTAAATTTTGTACATAAATTGTACACTGATCAATATCTTCTTTCTTCTGAATTGGTGTTAATCGACAGACCTTTGTACCATCCTCTGATACTTTCAACATAGTCGATCCCTGTAGAGCCTTAGCTATCCTGTTTGTGTCTGTAGTCAGCTCGCGCAACTTATTAAATCTTGTGAATACTTCAAGTTCCACATCTAAAAGACCAGTATAATTACAACTAGAATTTCGATTTAATATAATTAAGAAAAGGTACAATTAAATCAAAGGATTATCTTAGACCAAAGTAAAAAAGAAGAAATACTTACAAGGATTCTCTTTCAAAAGTCCTGACAAATAACGATCCTTGTTCAAGTTAGCGTCACTAAAATAAAACTCCATTTGCTTAAGTATCAAGGCATGCAACGCTTTCTTTCTCAGTCTTGGTTTACCACGCGAAACGCCCGGTTTGTTGTTACGTTTAACTGTATCGACTACTGGCTCCTGTATCTGAGGAACCGGTATACTTTCCGAAGCTAATTCCATATCTGATTCCTCCATCACCATTGTATTCTCAAAAGAACATACACCTTCCTAGCAAAATACAGTGTTCACGTACTGCAAGAGAATTTAAAAGTTGGTGTTCGAGTTAATATATACTTTCTATTTTATTTATACTCACCAGTTGTTTACAATGCAAATTAGATCACGAAACCACAGTATATACTGTGACGAAACTTCGAAACAGTATATACTGTTAAGAAACGCATACAATCTTCTTTTGGCCGATGGATTGCCAATTTCATTTACAGAAATCGAAGAATTACGCTTCTAAAACGCATACAATCACGTTCTTATTCTAGAATAGTTCTAAAATCTTTTGATTGCTGAATAAACGCAACAGTCACGCAGTAGTAGGATGCTATTTCATTTGTGCGTTTTGGTCGTACAAATGTGTACAGAACAGAGAGGTCCTCGGATATTTCTATTCCATAGCCAATCAACAGGCTTGAAAAATTTGTCGTACGACAAAACGCACAAATGAAATATAACCCGTAGGCATGAGGTCTGTTCGCGCGTTGTGGCGCTTGCACTTTTTGCACTCAGAATCTTCACTTTCTCTCTTTTTAACGTCCGAATTGTAGCGAATTGCTACATATAATGAATGTAGGTAATTGATGGCATACGGATTCACAAGTAATAACGTTTATTTATTAGCACATACAATATCTTATCGTGAGGTTGTAAAGTGATGATGTCGTGTACGAGGATGGTTAAAGAATGAATAATATGAGAGTGTATCTAGATAGGCAATTGAGTATAGTGTTCGTGAGAACGCGCCATATGGTCGCGGAATATGTATGCCTAAATGAGTATAAGTGTAACTGAAAAAGTGTGAGAACGGATGTGTGTGTGTGTGTGTGTATATGAAAGTGTGAATGTGCTTCACAATTCAAACGTTAAAAAGAAGGAAAGCGTAGATGCTAAGTGCAAAAAGTGCAAATAATATGAACAGATCTAATGGCGTTTGGCCTGTTTGCACATCAGCGCATGTCCGTGGAGTTGGACGGGAAGATCGGCCATTTTTGTTGAAAGCGTTTCTCTGCAGCGTTTCAATATGAAGTAAGTTGTGGTTTTTCATGAAAAATACACATCCGATGTTCTCGGTGCGATCCCATTATATCCAGGAGAGAAACACCGTGCAACATACCAGTACGATGTCCATAATTAATTTATGTATGATGTTTCCAGGATCGGTTTGTGCGCGTACAGCGGGTACAAGATTTATCCGGGCCATGGCAAGACCATGGTCAAAGTTGACGGAAAGGTGAGTACCATTAAGATGACAATTTAATATCGACAAAATAATGATGATATAAGTAGGATAATCGAATATCATGATTCGGTGACTTTTCCCCAATATCGCGTCCTGTATTTACTCAATCATCTGTTATTGCACGTGTTGGCGTAACCTATTTTAGTCTCATTTT